AAATATTATGGATACTTAATTAACAGAAATATCTTACCGAACAATTATTATAAATGCATGTGATGTCGATAATATTAATTATTTTTCACATGTCCGAGTTTGCTATAAATCAAGGATACAAAGTTATTTTCGCATAGATTGATGGGTGTCTTGTTGTTTGATATGCGTACAAAAGACAGCGTGTCGGACAATCGCCTTTGCATAATAACAGTTTCAATGGCTAGGACATAGCAAAACCTATTGTACTACAGGAATTGCTGTGAAGCCAATAGGTCATACTGAGGACTGAGCGTGGGTTAATATAGGTTAATATGTCTTTCAAATACCTGACAAATTAGGCCCTGTCATTAATTTTGTACAATCGATCATGTAGTTATTTGAAGGAGTGATTGTTTTCTTGAAATGTACAATAGATTACGTCATCAGCAATGCAGGGTATAATTTTCGATTTATGATTAAAATAATTTTTATAATAACATTTTAATAGTCTAATTATATCTATATGTTACCATTTTGATCGATTTTTATTAAGTAATTTTTCTTTTTTTTCAGAACCTAGTAATTATGTATGCAGCACATGCAAGCAGAGAATGCATTCCGCCTGGCGATTGCTTCAACATGTTCAACATACCCACGGAGTCAAAATCTACGTAGAGAGTTCTCCAGGACCTAATAGCAGTAGTTGCAGCAGTCTAGGCAGTACAAATTCAAGTAGTGGAAAAGCTCTTAGTGTGAACAACTCTGGGAATAGCAGTACATGTTCATCTTCATCATCAACTGGTCAACAGCCTCTGAGAATGCATCCATTACTACCACCTCCACCGCCACCAGAGCTTGCTGGTGTGGTTCCTTATGGTCTTCTTCGAGGACCAGTAGTGGCACCTCAATATTCTCGTCCGTCATTGCAGCACGATAGGTTCAGAATGGAACAATTAGTTTCTGAACAATTCAGACAACACGGTCTGAATTTAGCCGCTGCATTAGCCGCTAATTCGCAAGGCCAGCCCTCGCCCTTTCCAGTCGCGGCAGAGCGGTCACAGTACCGCGATCGATCAGCTCTGCCGGTCTCTGCTAACGCACCAAGTCAACAATCCTCTGTCGTCGGCCTTCCAATGGCCTCAGTAGGCGGAGTGCACCCAAACGAGCAGCTGGATTTTTACTCGCAGCGATTGCGACAGCTCGCGGGTACCACTAGTCCCGCGGCTGTTACGGCGGACTCGAGGCTCGCGAATCCGCGAAAGCATTCGCCGCCCTTTGCGAGCCCATCGCCATTGAATTCTGCTGTTAATAGTAATAACAATAACGATAGTTGCAGTGTTAATAACAATAATAATGAAGAGCGATGCACAAGCCGTGTTTACTCCCGACATAAAGAACCACCCCCTGAACCTGCCGAACCTATTACCACGACACCATGCTCAGCTCCTGATTCTGTAAAGTCGGAATCAAAATTTGATATTTGAGAACACTGAGAACACACGCTTATCAGGTGCACAGTTTGTGATCATTCCTGCTCCCAAAGTAGTCTGTTCGTAGACATATGCGGACGCATAGACAACAAATGCAAGATCAGAGGAAAGAACAAGTAACGCGGTACGGGAGCGTTGAAACCTTAGATGAAGATGAAACGGAAGATGAGGAGGAAGAAGAACAAGAGAAGAAGATGATGATGAAAAGCACAAGACTTATCAGTTACAAATTCCTTCTTCTCAACAGCACCAATTGCCACACAACCTCTTCCTTAACTACACTACACACCACCCTCCGTAGCTACAACGACAGCTGCTTCTCTTGTTGGAGAATTAATGGACAAATTTTGGTTTGGCTAACATTGCGCAATACAATGAAGCATACAAACAAGCCTTGCAAGAGTCCAGTGGTAAAATGATGAACGGTCTACGAGTACGAGATGATTTTAAACCATTGTTACCACACCATCACCTGCACCTCAGTTACCTTTATTCAACCCAATGCTACATCCACCATCTTCTACTGATGGAAGTTGGTGGCTGCCTGGATTGGGGCCGGTGATGCCCACCAAAATAGTGATGTGAAAAGTAAATCGAACGGCCGCTGCTATGCTTTTAAAGAAGGAACCGCGTAGAAACGATACTTGTGAGTTTTGTGTGAAGGTATTCAAAAATTGTTCAAATTTAACCGTACATAGAAGAAGTCATACAGGCGAAAAACCTTATAATGTGAATTGTGCTCGTACGCTTGTGCGCAAAGTTCGAAATTGACTCGACATATGAAAACGCACGGAAGGCTGGGAAAAGATGTATACCGATGCAGTTCTGCGAAATGCCATTTTCGGTGCCATCAACACTTGAAAAGCACATGCGCAAATGCGTAGTAAGCCAAAGCAAAGCCGGCGGCGGGCACAAAGCCGGCGGCGGGCACAGGTTACTGCCGCCAACTTTATTGTCAGCGGATGAAGACTCCTCAGCCAGCAAAGAGGCAGCATGACTCTTTCCCTGGGGTCGTTGGGGGCTTCCGCCCCCAGTGCACGCCCCCCTCGCCCCTGGGAGGATATATTAAATACATCGCGCGCTAATTTAAATCGACACGAGTTTCGGTGAAAAAATGCACTGTGAAATTTGCGTGCGGACTGATACCAAAGCCGGGCGACACCGTCATAATGATAAAGCGGTTCGACTGTTAATTTTATTATTGAAACATTGTATTTTTATTATATTATGTAATGGAGTTTTATAATATCAGTTTTGTATGTATTATTTCTGTAAAAATGTATTATAGTACTTACAATTTTTGTTGCGTTATCAAAAGTTTGGTGATTGAATGTGTGAATTTGTGAATGATTGATGTATATGAAATAAAATGTATTCCATTTTTAAGACTGAAATTGGGCTATATTTAATGGAGCTCTGGCACTTAAGACACATAATTTATTGTATTATTTTTTATTTTATTAAAAATGTTGATGTTTTGAACTGTAGACAATTTGTAGTAACTTCCAAATATTTGGATGAAAAGAATATATTCCGTACTTTTAATATTTAATTATAATCAGCAACATCGAAAGTGCGTGTACAATTTATATCATAAATAAAGCAAATTTAAAACAAGTTTTCATACTAAAAATCAAAAATTTTGTGTTAAAATGGATAATACTTTTTAAAGTTGTATGTTGCAGATTACCTGTAAGTTATTGAAATATTTATATTATTTTAATGTTCGTCATTCTAAGTCAAGTTGTTGGTGCAATATCACCTTAGATTTTAACATGGTTTTTACTATTAATTTTAACATTTGCAATTTGCCGAATTGTGAATTTACAAATCGGCATCATGCAGAGAATAAATACATAAAAAATGCTATCTTGATATTTCACCAATAACTCTTAGTTGATGTTATTAAACAAATGTCTGATACTGCGATGTATATTTAAACTATTAGATAATTTTATGTTATAGTTAAATAAATCTATTTTATATTTATAAAAATGCCTATTTGAAGGTTGCATTTTGGGTAATATATAGCATTCCCATAGCGGACCATATCTTATTTTACGATCAGAAGCGAAACGTACTTAATTATTAATTAAATATATTATAAATAAAATGACATGTAATTAAATTTTTTATTGTTTTTATTTTAATATATTTGATTTTCAGTTCTTATTATTCGTTATTAATGAGGGAGACTTATATTGCCAGTATTTCATTGTAAGTGTGTAGAACTTCTACTAACTGTAAATAGTTTTATAAAAGTGCAATAACTAGTTAAATACAAATTCTAATTGGATAGTTGAGATAAATCTCTAAAGGAGACCTAAGGTAGATTAAAACAGCATTCCTAAACATGGCCTATGTATAGAAAATGTTACGAACGATATTAATATTTAAAATAACTATTTTCAAACATATCAATATATTTTGTTTCGAATTAGGAATTTTTGACACATAATTTGGACGCAATTATTCTGGACTTTCTTCAGAAGTCAGTTGGACTCGTCGTTGCATCGAATCTATAATTGGCAATATAAAGATTTAAACTAACATACGAATTGTGAAAATGTGAACCTATTTAGTACGACAAATAGAATATAAATATTTATAATAGTGTTTTAACATATTGGCTCAACACGACTAAACCAAACAATCGATAGCTCAAGATATTTTCAGATAAAATTCATTTTTCTCTAGATAAAACAATACTTTTCCTCGAGCCCAAAATCGCTTGGTTAAATCGTGGACAGGAGTCCTTAAATTTAATTTGTAACATAATAACTAGTTAATTCAAATTTTATCAACGATTTCTGAATCAACTTTTTTTTATCTATTTTTGTTTTAATACAGTTCAATTTTTTGCCACTTGAATACTTTGCAACTAAAAATCTAAATTTGCAATTTATTTAACTAAAATCTAAAACCTCTTTCTAAATCTATTTCTATAATAGTATAAGCATGTAAAATTTTATATTCAAAATATTCCTACCCTCATGTTGAAAACAGGGTAAAATTAACAATTAACACAAATTATATATTACAACACGAATAACGCAGGGCCGTCGTATATAGTTTTTTAACAAAGTAATATAATAATTAAATCAATTTTAAATGTACACTTTTAAAACTAATAGATTTTAAATCAAGCAAACGCCACGTAATAAATGTCTTTGAATTTACAATATGTATTGACAAAAACTAAGAATATTTCGTACAGTAGCATTTTTGGATAAAATGTTTTATTTATATTTTCATATAAATTTTATTTATAATCTCACTTGTTACAGGTAAAACAAATATGTAAATTACAAATAAAAGTAATCGTGTTCAATAGACATTATTAATTTAACTCAATTATTAAATTTTTAATCACGAAATACCTTGTAACGTTTGATGATAGAGTTTAAATTATACGAGTGATTGTATAAACTTCCTATAGGATAAATACACGATATTATATAAAATGTTAATTTTGTAATATATATTTATTATTTTCTTGTGTAGATAATATTAATGTTATATAATAATTGACTAGTGTATTAATGTAATCAATTAATTGTATATGTACTGTAAAATTGACTTTTAAAATATTCTTAGATTAATTACAGAATAAAAATACATCAATCTAAATGTATCTTACGACTTGATTGCGAAATTGTCATAAATAAAAAATAAATCAGAAATACAACGAAGTAAATCTTTTCATTCCTCATATTAATTATTTTTCAGATTATTTTGTGTAAAAAATGATTGGAAGATTTCAAAATATAATACCTTCCTACCTCTGATTTACCTGTTTACCTGTTGCATAAAACTCAGGCAAAATATTTCTTTCCCATCTGAAAACATAAAGAACATCCCCACTATTGTTAGTTTCAGTGTGTGATTCATATAGGAACAGTTGATTCCAGTTAGATTGGTATAGGATTCCTATCAGATATTCCGCCAGGTAATTTTACTAGTAAGATTATATTGTATCACAATTAAATTTGACATATGATAATATTTTTTTATTTTTGGCTTTGAAGTTTCTTAACTAACAAACTAAATTGTATTTCTAAGAATTTGTTTTTAATTGATTACTTATATCAGTTTTATCTTCCGACAACTTATTTTTTTTTTTAAATAATTTGTCACTCTGTTATACGAAGACATTTTGTAATTAGTTTATTTTATTGTGGCTTTTAAAAGGAAAACTTAGTGGTTTGCCTTTATTTTTGTGTACATATAAAGACTTTTTTGCCATATTTTAGGATTTTTGAAAATGAACTATTGAAGGCAATCCAAAATGTTTTTGGGTAGATATTATAACTTTATTGGCAAAACAATTTATCAATGCAATTTCTAATTAGATGTCATATTTAATGCGACGATTAAATTAATAAATTGTAATTTCATCATAGATAAACTACCTTTTATAAGTTTTTATGAATATTAATTAATTTATAAATTTAAACACGTATAAATACATTTATAAATTAATGTGTTCGCATTTTAAATGATTTTATTGTTTCATATTAGAATCTTTACTTTTAATTGGATTTTTCTGTTTTTTTTGTTATACTTACTGGAAGTGTTAAATATTTATTTTTTATTCTATACCTATTTGTATGATTATAGTTTCATATAAATTGCACGTAATTAAGTTGTTTTTATAGTTAGATTCTCATTTTTTACGATTTCTTAACTTCCTATAGGATAAGTTATTGTAATGGTCGAAAAATCGAAATTGAAAATTTTTGCATTTCTTCACGTTTTGAAGGTTTTTGAACATTTTGGCATACCTCAGAAAAAATGGATTAGTGTGCACGGATCAACCGAATTGAATGGTTTAAAAAACATTCGATTCCTATTGATAGGGAGATATGCTGATTCGTTTTTGGCAAAGGCAGGTCCAACCGAAACAAGGAGTGCAGTAAATAGTAATCAAATTTTTGAGAGAACGGAGCATCCGATTTAAATGATCCATAAAACATTCTATTCGTAATGGCAGGGAGAAGTGGTGTGTAGTTTTTTGCATAGGCAGGTCCAGCCATTACGGAGGGTTATTTCCAATTAGAAACATATTAATCATCTATGGTTTCAAGTAAAATTAGAAATCTTCTAGCTGTTTGTAATTGGATTACCACTTTACACGGATCTGAATATCCTTGGAAGAAAACAAATTGCGTAATTTTCACAGGATGATTATTAGTTAATAAGAGTTAAGAATGACAGATGTAATTAACTAACACTATAATGTTAGTGTTTCAAATATTATTCACTAAATATTTATATTAATAAATTAAAAAAGTGTGGAAGTTATAGTATATTTAAACCGGCAGTGTGTTTGTTTATTTTTATTGTCACTACTGCATGATATCAGGTTATCTAGAACGGGTGTTCAAAGTTACGACCACGTTCAGTCACAGGTCACGAGGCGGTGCGCGTAACCATTACAATATATATATTTAATCATTTATATCAAGCAAGACACAGGTAATTCAGAATTGTAAAGATATTTTCAAAAACAAAATGATTTTATATAGATTTCGGTAAAATGCGGGCACACAAAACACACTG